CTCCACTTTATCCTGCATCACGCCTCACATGTTTCCCCTTTTTTTTGGCCGATCTGACAACTTGATCATAACTGCAGTCTACCCCGACCCTTGGCCTTCTCCTTCACCGCACATCTAGTGTTTCCCCCTTTTTGGTCCAATGTCCATCTGATTAACTTCACCATGATTGCAATCTACCCTACCCCTCCGCCTTCTCCTTCACCGCGCCTTTGACGTTTCCCATTTTTTCGATTGATCTGATAAATTGATCATAACTGCAACCTACCCAAAAAACATGTTTACAATTCACAGAGGCCAGATATAATTTTGCAGGTTCACATTGATTTGAAAAGTTGAGATCGAAGTGCAGTCCTATCCTTTTACACCTCCACCCCTTTTTTTCTTTACATCTCTCACAACTCCACCTTATGGTACCAGAGTACTCTAAAAAACCGAGATTCAAATGTCGAGCGTAGCGTCAATCGTACTCTCACAATTTCACCTCTTATGGTAGGTATATTTCCAAAAACTAAATAGTTTTCCATGCCACAAGCACAACAATACCATGACAAAGGGAAAAAAGGCCTCCCAAGAAAATGAAAAGACTTATTTTAGGAAAAAGAGAATTGGTGAACTGAAAACCGGCAAGAAAACACGGGAGCGCGGAACGGACATGTCAAGCCCCACACACCAACTATGTGCATCACCTCACGGTCAAAGGAAGAAAAATAAATAAATAACACTACATGCATCACAACTCCCTCGCTCCCTCCCCTTCTTATTCCCACTCCCTCCGCCGTCCCTGAACCCAGCCCTCCCCCCCTCCCTTCTTCTCCATCCATCCCCGAGACCAACCAACCAACAATGGAAGTTGCTGCGCCCAAGCAACTCCTCCCCATGGCGCCGCGGGACCCCAACTCCCCGTCCTCCTCCACCTCCTCCTCCTCGCCGTCCTCCGCCGCGTCGCCCTCCAGCCACCGCCCCAGCCCGCTGCCGCCGTCCCCGCGGCCCGTGCCGCGCACCATCGACACCACCCCCTTCCCCACCACCTTCGTCCAGGCCGACACCGCCTCCTTCAAGCAGGTCGTCCAGATGCTCACCGGCGCCGACATGCCGCCGCCGGCACCGTCCTCGCAGCCGCAGGCCCAGAGCCAGAGGCCCCCCGCGGCCGCCAACAACAAGGCCGGCGCCCCGTGCCGGCCCAAGAAGCCGGCTTTCAAGCTCTACGAGCGCCGGAGCAGCATGAAGAACCTCAAGATGATCGCGCCGCTCGCCATGGCGGCCGCCGCGGGGGCGTCGCCGAGGAAGGCGCTGCCGGAGCTGCTGTCGCCCAGCGTGCTCGACTTCCCGTCGCTGGCGCTCAGCCCCGTCACGCCGCTGGTGTCCGACCCCTTCAACCGGTCCGCGTCGGCGTCCCCGGCGGAGCAGGAGGCGGCCGCGGAGCGCGCGGCCATCGCGCGCAAGGGCTTCTTCCTCCACCCGTCCCCTCGTGGCGGCGCCGGCGAGCCCCCGCCGCGCCTGCTGCCGCTGTTCCCCGTCACCTCCCCCCGGATGGCCTCCGCCTCCGCCGCGCCGTCGTCGGAGTGAGCGAGCCGACTCTCTCCGCCGCGTAGAGCGTACGACGTACGGCGGCGTACTATTACTGAATTGTCCGGAGTAGCTCGTCCTCGGTGCTGGTAGTATGTTGTAATTTTTGCTCGCGTTGTTGAGCGACGGCTCGCGAAGGAACGGAAAAGGATCACACTCTTTGAGCTCCTCCCCTGCCCTCCTCTGTTCTTGGTGGATCGGATCGGTGCTAATTGTGCCTAATTTACTCTCACAATTAACTGTCTCCGTTTCATCATGCAGTTAATTTCCGGAAAATATTTCCCATCCCTTTCTTTCCTCTCATTCATGGAAACGGCATGCACATCTCTCGTCTTTTAAGTTGCGCTACCAAAGCTTAATTTCCGCCAAGATACGAACCATCCACTGTACCAATAACGGTTGCAGCATTCAGAATTCTTCCCAAATCTATGCAAGCATCCAGCCTGACACAAGATGGAACAAGGAATTCTGCCAGAATTCTCCTCAGTGTCCCTAATTAAATTCCCCGACAAGGCCGCAAGAGTCAGAGCATCTTCTTCAATGGCGTAGAATCAGAGGGGGGGCAGTGCCCCTCCCCTGTACTTGTTCCTGTAGATTCAGAGAGATTGCAGTGTCGAAGGAACAACAGACGAACAAGCCGTCATGTCACATCGAGCCGTGACTTTTAGACGTAGAATTATTGCAACTTTGAATTTCTCTTTTACTACATTTATGTGCCTTGAAGAGTTCTGTGCTAGCGCTAGTGATCTGGCTGGCATCGGGTTCGGGTCAAAGGAGGCGTCGTTGTCAAGCATCCAGCCGAGAAGCGGCACAAGGAAGGAGGAGTTGGACTGTCCAGTTGACCGCCCGGGACAGCGGGTGGTGGTGCGCCGGCGGCGGATGGCCGGCCGGCCGGCAGTGCAACCCATCATCGGTGCACCTTTGCTTTTCCCCAAAGCGGCTCCGCCCTTGGCCTTGGTGGTGCGTGCATCACAGGTCAGTACGTATGGGCACATGCCTCCCCTCCCGACTTTACGAGGAGAAAACAATGTAAAGCAAGCAAAGTAGCAGTAGAAGTGTAGCAATGGAGAAAGCAAAGTTAGGGACCGGACAGAGAGAGCGTTCCACTACTAACTACGACCACCATGACCAAATGGCAAGGTGGCGGGCCCGCCTTGTTGACCGCTTTGGACCGGGCGACCGGGCGACCGGCAGCTACCTACTGTCCGGAGTAGTAGTAGAACCGACGCGAGGAAGAAGAGAGAGAGAGAGCACACATAATTCCACAGCCTTTCTAACGAAGATCTCATGGCGGTAATGAACCGTGAGCAGTGCGGGGTTTAATCCCGGCCGTGCACTGCCGCTTAATAATTCTGCCACCTGCTCCGGTTTGACTTTGCGCGCGCGATGATTAATCCCGCGATCTCCGTGCGGCTCCGTCCATCCATCAGCGTCTTAATTTGCACCCTTCCTCACTCGTTCAGGAAGCAGCCAGAGACACTGACCTCGTAATTAAACGGAATTTGGGGGCCACGCGATCGAGATCGATCGGTCGATCGTGGTGTGTCAAATGTCTTGATCTTGATACCCATCGACTCAATCGTAGAGCTCAAGGAAGCTGCGCTCGTGTGCGTAGCGTACCCTCTCTTTCTTTCTTTCTTTGATTTGCATCCGTCTGTTGACCCTTTGCGCGCCAGTTGCTGTTGGATAATACATACTGCAGTTAGTTGTTGCTGTTGTGCAAGTGAACTTGATCGACCCAAAGGAAATGACCGCGGCAATTGGCCGGCCCCTGCGACATCGACGACCATAAGTACATATCTTAGTCGCTCGAGATGGCTACTTAATAACGAATGGCTCCAAGGACAGTGAGCGCGGTAGCTTGAGCAAGCTAGGGCGACGTGCCCGGTAATTTAAACAACCGGACAAGTTCTACCACCCTTGTGGAGTAGAGCACAATGCTGAACCGATCAACTGAAAGAAAGGTCAAAAAAGGCTGCACGCACGCACGCACAACGGCCATAGACCGACGTCAGGACCGAAGAAAAGGGCGGGAGAGAGGAATCCTCTAGGATGAGCAGAAGATAGACGGTGACATGCACAGCTTGGAACTTAACTTGGATGCTGCCTCTGGAGGACGTGCTACGTACGCCGCCAACTGCCTTGACTTGGGGCAACAGGCCATGGGTTGGTTGGCGGGCAGCTTGGCTTGGCTTGTATCAGAATTCAGACCAAGGAATCGCCATGTTTTGCCAATGAGATGGTACCAAACATGTGTGTCTGCGTGTGTGTGTTCACCAGCTAGCTGCCTCAGTTTGGTGTCATATTAGGCGTCTCGGACCGACGGGCTACAGGAAATGCTATAACTGGACTCCAAGGTCAAGTTAGCACTACCGCTGAAATAATATTTGTGCGTATCAGAATATCAGAAATGCTGCAAACTGCTAATTTGATATGGTCGTATCGAGGACTTTGGGTGAGTACATGTCTGTATTTGATTTTGTACTATATAAGCTATGCGGAAGTCAACTAAGTACATATATATATAGCGAAGATAACATTCAAATATCCAAACTGAAACGTAGGGGTCTGCATATTGAACTGGCCAAATGCAGAGTCAACTGAACACCGCCCACAAAGATCGCATCAAACTCTCATTTTCTTTCCTGAAAAGATCAAACCAGAACACGCACTCTGAATATTTCTCGCTCGTTCGCTGGACAGCGGCGTGCCCGAAGAAGGCACACATTACATTAGAAGTAGTAGCTATCATCATTCACCTCTCCCGCGTCGATTTATCTTTCACACGGTAAATGAGTCAGTTGGTGGGCAATCACTATGTGAAATGGCTAGCTGCATCTGCCCAGTCCAGTCATCTCTAGCCCCTCGAATTGGTCAAGTCTTCCTCGGGGAACATGGAGGAACACTAAACTGCACTGCTGGTTTTTTCTATGGGGCCGACGACGAGAAAGAAAACGTAAACCTTTTGGTGCTTTGCGTCCCAAGTTCGTGGATTGCGAGATCGATCGCTTGACGCGTAGTTTAGATCGCGATTAGTCAATGCGTTCGCGGCGATTCTCATCGCGTCAAGCGGGCGAATAGCTTGCGCGCATTCTAGTGTCTGCAACGACAATGACGGTGCAAGTTCAGAAATGAATTGCACATCAAACAAGAACTTGAACTAAAACCACAACGAGTAAATCGGAACGGAGGGAGTAGAACACAAGATCAAGCAGAAGAACTGGACAACTTTAAAAGACTGGTTTGGTTCACATAGTGCTGCTGACACCAGGATCAAAAGATGATTCCCAAGACCGGAATCGAATAGGTTTGTGTTTTCTCTTTTCTCTTTTTCTTAATTCTGCTTGTACATATTACTTTGATTATATAACTGAAAATACCGTAAGAACAACTGTTCTACGGTTTGCGGTTCTAAAAAAACGGTCCAAGGTATGTGCACCAACCAACTCACATCCACCATCGGCTGTCTGCGTTGCCTGTGATTTTTCTGACTGGTAAACGAAAAAAGGGCATGCTAGGAAAAAGAGTATGCAGTCCCAAATGCGAACCCACCAGATCTTCAACAGTTTACAAAATAGTATTCCCTCGGTAAAGAAATATAAGAGCATTTAAATCATTAAAGTAGTCTTCTAAACGCTCTTATATTTATTTGGGGAGTGCTTCGGTACAACCCCCTAAAACGTATAGTGGGTAGTATGGTAATTTCACATTAGATATAGAAATACCCACCCGACGCCGTACGTCGCGCGCGACGTCGTACGCCCGCGTATGCCGCACCCGTCGTTGTACGCCCGCCCGCCCGCGTACCCGCACCCGTCGCCGTACGCCCTCACGTCTCGGCGTTGGCGTGGACAGTTGTTGGAGGAAAAAAAAGACACAGTAGCCAACGACGCCCGCCGTCGAAACCCTGAACCCTAACGCATCCACGCCGTCTCCACGTTGGCCCCCATCTGCACGAAGTCGCCGTCGCCCGAGTCGCGGCCCAAACAGGCCGCCGCGCGTGCCCCGGCGCCTTTACCGCTGCCGGCGCGCGTGCCCGCCGCCGCATTCCATTCCCGTCGCCCAGATGGCCGCCCACCCGCGATCTACGTCGCCGCCTCCCTCCGCGCACTACGCCTACTACGACCAGCCATCGTCCTCACGCCATCGACACCTGCCTCCGCCGGCCAGCAACGTCACGCCGTCATCACGTTCGTCATCGGAGGAAATGGATCCAGCTGAAATCCTCGCCGTCGTGCAAGAGGTTGGTTTGAGACATTGTTGTGTTTGATAAGATAGTTGTTTTAGGGATGATGTTACACGGCGTTTGATTCACCGTACAATTTTTTTAACTATATATAGTTAGAGGAGGAGGGAGATTATGATGGCGATGATTACGGCGAGGACAACAAAACCTCGTCACGGAATATGGATGAACCTCGTGAGGAGAACTACATGAGTTTGGATGAATCTTATAGTGGCAATGTAAGTGTGATCAATGTTGATAAAACAATAAATATGAGGGGGTAAATATGATAGAATGCACGAAAAAATTAATATTTTTTTGCATGATGCAGCAACATGGCGATGATGATGATGATATGGATATAGATGATTCATTTGCTGAAAGTGCACTCCGGGTATGTTATTAATAAAATCAGAGAAGAAATGACATAATAACCATATGAGCGCTTACATGTTTTTTTGCAATGCGCGTAGATGGACGAGGACGGGGACTTTGTGAGGAATATTGTGGACGATGAAAGTGACAAATCGCACGTTGATGCATCTCATGATGACAGCTCCAACAAAGTAAGTTTTGAAACTTACATCACTAAAGTACATTTTAAAATTATAACTGGCTGACATAAATGGTTTAATGCATTAATTTACAGGGAGATGTAGATGGTACAAGCGGGAATGATGAGCATATTGGTGATGATCTGTTTAATTTTGACATCGGATTTGATGAATATCAGCAAGAATCATTGGACATGCATTGGAAGGTCATGAGGAAGACG